TGAAGCGCTACTTCTAGAAAAGTTAACATATTTTACTACAATCCTGTTAGAAACTTTACCCTCCTGTCTGAAAAAATTAGTATTGATTGCACTGTCTTATGAATGACTGGCTAATCACACATAAATGGGCAACGTAAGTATACTTTATTTTCAATTGTTTTATTTTCTGATATCTGTAATAATTCACGTGGCTTGAACTCAAGCCTATTTTTTTGAAGTTGCTTGCTATGTTTTTCTGAAGATGCAAAGGTACGACAAGATTATTTTTATTTGTTGAATGCAGGATGTGTCAATGCTTCATCAGATTGCATTCACAGGTTATTTTCTTCTCCTCTGTTATTTGAATCAGCTCAAAATTCCTGAGAGAGTGTAGGAAGATGAGTCATGATAATGCTCTTTCATTGAACACATGCTGCACTTTCTTTTTTTTTTTTTGAGACTGAGTCTCACTCTTTCACCCAGGTTGGAGTGCATTGGCATCATCTCCGCTCACTGCAACCTCTGCCTCTGGGGTTCAAGCAATTCTTCTGCCTCAGCCTTCCAAGTTTCTGAGACTACAGGTGTGTGCCACCACACCCAGCTAATTTTTGTATTTTTAGTAGAGACAGGGTTTTACCATATTGGCCAGGCTGATCTCGATCTCCTGATCTCAGGCAATCTGCCCACCTTGGCCTCCCAAAGTGTTGAGATTGCAGATGTGAGCCACCATGCCCAGCCCATGCTGCACTTTCTAAGAGTTAGGGAACTTTGCCACAGGTTTCTTCATACTATGGCAACCACTACTGCTCCCTGATCATATAAAACCCTGTTGGGGCGGCTGGACCCAACACCAGGCCATGGGAGCTACGAAGTCCGGCAGAGTCAAAAGAATGAGAAAAGATAAGTTTAAGAGTGCATAAAGTGGGTCCAGGGGGCCAATGCTAGTATGGAAGCTGTGAAGGCCCCGAACTCTGGGAGCCCACACTATTTATTGGTAATCAAACAAAGAAGCAGGTGGTGAGGATGTGGGGGTTGAAAGGAAGTGGTGCATCAAGCACATGATCTATAGCTGTGATGGTTTAGTATTTCCTTTGAAGCACATGGAACATGTTCTGCTACTTGAGATAATGGGGGACATGTTCTACTTTAAGATACAATTGTTTTATGAGCCTGGGAGTGCTAGAAGCGAGAAGCCAGCAAGTCTAGACACACTCCAGAGGCCACGAGGGGTTTTATGCCCTGAGCCTTGGATTCCATCCAAGCCATGAGGGGTTTTATGCCCTGGGCTTAGATTATGGTGCACAGGGCAGCCTTCCACCCTTTGGCAGAGAGCTTGGCATTCCAAAGGCCACAAGGGGTTTTAGGCCCTGGACCCTGGATGTCTTCCAAGACTCTTTTACATTATGTCAGATATGCAAGCCCTGCGTCACCTTTTCTCCCAACAAATCCAACCTAATAATAAGAGATATAACAGAAAAACACATTTATTTTCATGATGAAAATGTTCTTAAAAGGAAGCAATCTGTTTTCTTGCTTTATACCACTTTAACTTCCATCGAACAAAAATTTTCTCTAATTATTTTAATGCATGGGGTAAAAGGATAGATTTTAGTCAAATGCCTAGACATACAATGGTGACTGCAAATAAATAGCTATTGTTTTGATCCTTATCTTAGAGCGACTCTGGTGGAAATATTTACAGATGAAATAATGTGATGTCTGAGAATCTCTTCCACTTACTGTGATGGGGATAGGATGAGGCTGTGGCAGGACTGACAGTCTGAGGCAAAGTGATGGGAGCAAAGACTCCCATTATACTATTTGGTCTATCTTAGATGTGCCCCAAATTCCTCTCATCATGATATTTGTAAAAGTGGCCTTTAAGGATATATATGCATCACATTTATATAAATGACACTTATCATTTATAAGTGAGGGAGCTAGACACAGCATTTCGTGGGCTATTAAGATAATTGGAAGGTTCTGGATGTTAAGGTGCACCTTTGCAATAAGGTGTCATATTGCAAAGCCAGCTGTGGTCTTGTCCTGATGTGGTGCTGAATGTCCTGCAAACTACTAGTGTCTGTCTTGATTCCTTTCTTAGCTCTTCAATTCCATCTTGGCATAGTTACTTTTCCTACCAAGAACAGAGTTCAAAGAATGTTGCTTATTTCCTTTAAAAGTTTTCATCTTTCCCATTTGATATGGTTTGACTGTGTCCCCACCCAACACTCATCTTGAATTGTAATCCCCATGTGTCATGGGAGGGACCTAGTGGTGAAGTGATTGGATTATGGGGGCGGTTTCCCCCATGCTGTTCTCGTGATAGTGAGTTCTCATGAGATCTGATGGTTTTATAAGTATCTCACATTTCCCCTGCTAGCACTTCTTTCCTGCTGCCATATTAAGAAGGATGTGTTTGCTTCCCCTTCTGTCATGATTATAAGTTTTCTGAGGCCTTCCCAGCCACACAGAACTGTGAGTCAGTTAAACCTCTTTCCTTTATAAATTACCCAGTTTCGAGCAGTTCTTTATAGCAGTGTGAGAATGAATTAATACACCATTGTTCACAGTAACAGGTTTTCAACTTGATTAATGAGATATCTATATGTTTATTTTTCTAGTTGCTGTGTAGTCAGTATTTATCAAAAGTATAGGTTCTTTTTTTTTTTTTTTGAGACGGAGTCTCGCTCTGTCGCCTAGGCTGGAGTGCAGTGGCACGATCTCGGCTCACTGTAAGCTCTGCCTCCCGGGTTTACGCCATTCTCCTGCCTCAGCCTCCCGAGTAGCTGGGACTACAGGCGCTTGCCACCTCGCCTGGCTAGTTTTTGTATTTTTCAGTAGAGACGGGGTTTCACTGTGTTAGCCAGGATGGTCTCGATCTCCTGACCTCGTGATCTGCCCATCTAGGCCTCCCAAAGTGCTGGGATTACAGGCTTGAGCCACCACGCCCGGCCCATACTTTTTATCTACCTCATTGCTCAGCAAACTACAGTGCCCACCCCACCAGGCCAAATTGAGGCCCACTGGTTGGTTTTTGTAAGTAATGTTTTATTGGAACACAGTCATGCTCATTTGTTTATGTACTGTCTATGGCTGCTTTTTTGTTTAAAAGGCAGAGTAGCTGTGACAAAGAACATACAGTAGGCAAAGCCTAAAACATTACTTCTGATCATTAAGAAAAAATAAATTGCTTACCCCTTATCTACCCTATAGTTTTAAGAATCTGTGTTGAGTATTTTTTCTTTTAAATGTGATATATATTTATGGTGTTTGATTTTATTATACATTAATATGCATACAACTCAAAAGAGTTCTACTATATTTTGACAAAATATCCTAATTGCCAAGAAAATGAAAATTTGGCCCTTGTACAGAGGAAGAAAAATACCTTAATTTTATTTCTTTTTATACTTGAGGCCTTTAGTTTCACTTTATTCTACTTTAAAATATTTCCAATGCCATTGAGCAATAGCTAATGAGTTAGTTTTTATATAATCAAAATATTTTCTTCTAAAAGTATCTTTGTAACTGAACAAATGTCTAAACTCCTTGGAATCTGCTCTGACTAGAGTTGAACAGTAAAGGCTTATAAAGCTTGCTTAGTTTAAGAATGTACTTTGGCATAAAATAAAGAAGGTGAGTAAATGCAAAGTTTTAGCAAGTTTAATGTCTATTTGAGCAAAAGGTGGGTGAGTAATTTGAAAATGCATGGGAATGGGTTCGTTCCTTAAGCACTGGTAGAGGTAGAGGCTTGGCATGGAAACAAAAGAAGAGCTTAAAAAAACCTGACAATGCTTTCTTAGGGGGTTATGCTCCACTTAGGAAACAATTTCTCTTTTTGACCATGATTTAGGTTGCATTAGCTTGTTGTTAATCTTTGAAAGGATGCACTTGTGTGTGTGCGTGGGTGTGCGTGTGTGTGCATACCTGATATTAAGTTTTCTAATAATTATCTGGTTAAAGACCAAGAAGATTGAGGAGATAAAACTTCCCCTCACAGTGACAAGTTGACCTGGAAGGGACTTAACCATAGAGTATTTATTTATTTCAACTGGAGTTCTTCTGTTCAATACACATGGTAGCCAGTTGCCACTTGCAGCAGCTTAAATCAAACTAGTTAGAAATCAATAAAATGAGAAATTCAGTTCCTCTGTCTCAGCACATTTCAAGTGCTCATATCCATGTGAGGCTAGGGCTACCATACTGGAAAGCACAGGGTCATGGAGCTTTGCCATCATGGCAGAAAGATGATGAATGTCGTGTTTCTGAACTGTTCTCAAGAGTTGGATTACCAAGCCCCTTCTGCTAATACTTGAATGATCATAACTCAGATTTTAGAAAAGGCAAAGTTTCAAAACCTTGTATTATATGAATTTCACTCCTAGAGAAATAATGTTCAATTTGGAGGTGGAAGCAAGTTTGGCAAGTTGGAGGTAATGTTCTCTTGACTTTGAGTTGATGATTGGGTTGGTAGAAGGCTGAGAACTGTTATTCTGTCTCTTTCTCTTTTTCTCACTGGTTTCCAGCTTTTGTTTTTACATTAACTCTACCTTTTGTCTCTCTCTCCCCACAATTCAAAGAAAAAATGTCTTCGGGATCACTGCACATGGCTAGAACTGGAATATATTAAGAGCTGATGCCATGTGAATTTTTTTTTTCATTTCCCCTGGACAGTAATATTTGATATTCGGTTGTGGAGAAGGTTTATTTTTTGGTCACTAAAACTAGCTCTAGATATTCTTCAACTTCCACTAAAGTTTGCTTCACAATACTGTATTGTAGGGAAATGACGGAAAGGAAGTGTCATGTTATTCACATCACCATTCCAACAGGCCCACACGCCAATGGTGACATTTAGTGATTGCAATAACAGAGTCAACTGAGAATACTGGTATTTCAGTATTTAACTGCAGAAGACATGTTTAAAACATTATATTTTGAGGGGAAAGGGAAGTCCAACTTTTTATTGTAACAAAATTATAAATTTTATTCCAAAAACAAAAATCATGACTTACCTTTTTCTTCCTTTTGAAAAATTTTTTGTCTTTTATTTATTCTTAGACTGTCCCAAGGAACAAACAGCTTTATCTTCTTTAGTTTCATTATGTATAGATGGATAAACTGAAGAAGAAATTTCCTGTGTTAATTTCAAATTTTCATATACATATTTCACTTATTTGGAAAACTTCTAAGGAGCTACTCTGGGGATAGGATTCTCACTTTGTCTTTTTCGTTGTTGTTCTTCTTCTTAAGAATTTTGAAATTCACTTCTTGGCATACATCACTATGTACCCAATGAATATGTACAATTATTATTTGTCTATTTTTAAAAAAAGAGAAGAAAAGAAAAAGTTTTTAAAAATGTGGAGCTAAGTACCAAAAGAAATACTTAAAAAATTGTTTTCAGTATAAAAAAGTTTCTAACATTTCTATTCGAGGACACAATTTTGTTGGTAAAGAAGAGTCTTGGCCGGGCGCGGTGGCTCAAGCCTGTAATCCCAGCACTTTGGGAGGCCAGAGACGGCGGATCACGGAGGTCATGAGAGCGAGACCACCGGGCTAACACATGAACCCCGTCGTACTAAAAATACCCAAAAACAAGCTGGGCGGCGCGCCTGTAGCCAGACTGTGGAGCGAGGCAGAGAAGCGACCCGGTGAAGCTGGCAGGTGAGCCGAGATCGCGCACTGCACCCAGCGATGGGCACAGACGAGAGCCCGCGGCAAAAAAAAAAAAAAAAAAAAGAAGAGTCTTATTCACCAAATATTTTCATCATAAATTATTAGTTATGAATAAATATTGAATTCATCAATAAATATGAGTGAACATGAGTGACTCACTGGAATTAATAAGTTGTGGATTCCAGTTTCAGGTTACAGTTACTGATCTTGATTTCAGGGCTATAATATAACCTGCATATCCTGGTAATCATGTATCATACGATTCATATCAACTTTTGGTAGTTGTTTCAATGCCATAGACAGTCCTTCAGGAATGGCCCCAGACTGGTTCATTATTTTTAATTTTAATTTTATTATTATTAATATTTTTTGAGATGGAGTCTCACCCTGTCACCCAGGCTGGAGTGCAATGGTGCAATCTCGGCTCACTGCAACCTCTGCCTCTGGGGTTCAAGTGATTCTCATGCCTCAGCCTCCCAAATAGCTGGTATTACAGGCGTCTCCCACCACATCCAGCTAATTTTTGTATTTTTACTAGAGATGGGGTTTCACCGTGTTGGCCAGGCTGGTCTTGAACTCCTGACCTCAAGTGATCCACCCTCCTTGGCCTTCCAAAGTGCTGGGATTACAGGCATGAGCCACTGTGCCTGGCCTGTCATTTATTCTTTATCTGGTTCAGGAGTTAAACTGGAGCTTATTTATGTATTTATTTATTTATAGAGATGATGTTTCACCATATTGCCCAGGCTGGTCTCAAACTCCTGATCTCAAGTGATCCGCCTGCCTCAGCCTCCCAAAGTTCTGGGATTACAAGCGAGAGCCACTGCACCTAGTCTGGTTCATTCTTAGGCTTTGGACGTTTCCCTCTTTGGCGGACAGGCTGCCAGTCATTCAGTTTCTGTTCAGTTTTTCTAACTGGGAAAATTAGCCTTAGTATTGTATGATTCCTCTAGTCTAGGAGGTACAGTTTGAGGATGCCCTAATTTCTCCTCTTTCCCAGACAATTTCTGGGGGCGAGGGAAGGGTAAGTTAGGTTGAGATGGCTTGAGAGCATAACAAATGAGAGCATCAGAAGTGTCAGTGCAGATAGAAAGACAACAGAGTTTCTATTTTAATCCAGGAACAGACTGCATTTTGGTGTTTACCAAATAGCATAGTTAAAATGCTATATACGTAAAGTGAATTTGCAACATATTACTTATGCAGTTGACCTTATCTCACTTTTAAGGATTCATGTCCTACTGTATTCCTAGACACTCCAGCCTCAAATATTTGAAGATCAGCAATCCCTTTGGCATCACTTCAGCTTTCTTTTCTATAGCTAAATTTAAGAAAAATACATTTACTAATTCTTACTTTAAACACATGGTCCTTAAAACATTTCTATCTGAATCTCTCTCTATCTGCATATCCTGGTATCCATATATCAAAAGTCTGCAATCATGTCCTCTACACTGGTTACATTTGAGGTGCACTTTAGGTATGTCATTTCAATGCCTTTTCCCCCAAGTGCTTTACATTTTGTAGAATTGAATAATTTTTCTACACACAATAAAGTCCTTTCTACAATTTAGTTAATGAGTTCTATGATGTTAGATGTCTTGCTTGGCTTACTTTTTTTAGTTATAAATTATTATGTAGAGAATATCTACATTTAAATCTTGGCTTTTTTTTCCACTATATAGGGCCAAATTCTTTGATATAGAATTGCTAAGTCCAAACCAAATACCTGTTTGCACTTGAGGCATACTGTCATGCTGTCTTCCAGAAATGTGCAGCCTCCGAGAATGCCTTCTTCACTGCCCTTCTGTTGGTGTCATTTTAAAGCGGTTGATCTAGACCTCTCTTCTAAAATAATAATGCTGTCGGAATCAAAAGACAAAATACAGAAATTATAGGTCTCTTTCATTTTCTGTTTATGCAAAGATTGGTTGAAGACATCATTTGGCAATGGAGACCGGGGTGGGGGCGGGGAACAGATAAATAGGTGCAAGCATGATGCTTTTAGATACTCTTCAGTGAGTATCTGTAAAAGTTCTTCCCTGAATGGAAATTTGTCTCCAAAACAGGGTTCCTGTGTCTCTTCTTCTATCACGTTGCAACCTTTCCAAGGACTATATATTTTTTTTTTGAGGGAGTCTGGCCCTGTCGCCTAGGCTGGAGTGCAGTGGCACGATCTCGGCTCACTGCAAGCTCCGCCTCCCGGGTTCACACCATTCTCCTGCCTCAGCCTCCCGAGTAGCTGGGACTACAGGCACCAGCCACCACGCCCGGCTAATTTTTTGTATTTTTAGTAGAGACGGGGTTTCACCGTGTTAGCCAGGATGGTCTCGATCTCCTGACCTCATGATCCACCCTCCTCAGCCTCCCAAAGTGCTGAGATTACAGGCGTGAGCCACCGCGCCCGGCTCCAAGGACTATTTTTGCTTAAACAATATATTCAAACATCGGAGACCACACTTTTAGAATCATAATTATTTAAAATGTATATATACTGGACTAACCAGTTATATATGCACTGTCTTTTTTATGTGTCATAAAACCAAAGTCCCATACATTCATAAGGTAGTGTACCCTATGCTGAAGCCCCTGTATTGTTAAATATACATATTGAAACCCAAAAGGCTCAAAGAATTGACATCATACTTTAATATCACAGACTAACGTGGATCTTCATGGAACCAGAGATAGTGGATTGAGTAGTTTCCACCACCACAAAACCTCGTACGTCTTCTTATCTGGACTTGGTGTCTGATATTTAAACCAGCTAAAAATTCTGCAAGATTTCACAAACAGCTTCCAAAGTGTGTGTGTGTGTTTTTTTTAAATTCATGATGTTTGCTAATTCATACCTTGAAGGTATGTACTTTACTCAGTGGAATCTCAAACGAGGTGCTAGGAGGTGGCTTGTGATCTAAACACTTTAGGAAGAGCTAACTTAATCAGAAAAGTTTCTAAATTTTTCTTTTTCAGCCCAACTTTTCTTTCATCCTGTCTTGTTTAAAAGATTTAAATTTCTTTAGACTGATGAGGATGGTGGTTCAAGCCAAGAAAGTGTGGGTGGGAATGCAAAGCCTTGCTTTGTAACTAGAATGCAAATGCTATTCTAACATAATTTGAACCTGATTGAGCTGCCCAAATTTCAACCATCCTGGAGCAAAACACAGGAAATCTGTACCACAGCCAGAAAGATTCTCTGAATTCCAAACGGAAACAGAGCGTTTCTCCATTTCTTGGAGTTGTATTGGGCCCAAATGTGTAGCCTAGAAAATAATGGTTAAATGTTGTTTCTGGACCAACTGTTGAGTTAGTTTTAAAGTTTCTACCAGAAAAAAAAAAATAAAGAGAAAATTACCTACATATAAAAAGTCACAAAATCAAACTGTCTTTTTGGCTTAACATTTTCTTCACATTATTTTATTGAAGTTTGTATTAACTTTTTCTTGAAATGAAGTGTTCTATGGCTTTTGTTCCAAAAACTGTGAGTTTCCTTTCATTTACCCTGCTGTCACAGCATCCAAGAAAGAACACGTTACCATGATTGCAGCCCAGAAAGAATTGGTCCCTTAACTTTTGATAAGAACAAGAACAAAATAATAGACATCACTTTCCTATTTCTTCTTGAGTACTGGACACAATTCTGATTTTTTTTTTCCACTCAACCTTCATTTTTGGCTTCAATAACTTGAATTGGTAGTATAAAATATACTAGAATGGCTATAATCGTAAAAGATAGAACATAATAAGTGTTGATGTGGATGTAGACAAATTGGAACCTTCACACATTGCTAATGGGAAGGACAAATGGTGCAGCCACTTTGGAAAATAGTTTGGCAGTTTCTTACAAAGTTAAAGACAAATGTACCCTGTGCTACAGCAATTCAACTCCTACGTAGCGACCCTGGAGAAATAAAACATGTGACTTGCACATAAATGTTCACAGCAGCATTATTCCTAAGAGCCAAACAAATGGAAACAACCCAAATGGCCATCAACTGATGCATGGATGAACAATATGTGGTATGCCTATACAATGAAATACTGTGGAAGTTTGAGTCCAGGCAAGAGACAAACCATGCAGTGGGATTAAATAGGGAGAGTTTAATGTGAAGAATTATGAAGAGTTATGAAAGAGTAACTATAAGACATGTAGAGACTCAACTCTGTTTGGTATTTTAGAGCTCAGGGAGAGAGTTCAAAGGACACACTAGGAAAGGGTTTAGACTTTCCTGGAAAAGGTATATGGCACTGCCACCTAAGAGTGGAGATGTTTGGAGATTTGGCCAAGCCAGAGTTGATCTTGAGTTGCTGGGCAAACTGTGGGCCACCTTCTAGAGTGCAGGTGAGAGGGCAGGTGATCGGCAACCACCGTGTTAGGGAGTCTGTGCATTGGAGTGGACAGAAGATTCAAAGGGACACAGCCATGTGGGAAGTTTGAAGAAGGACAACAGCTTGATGTGTCAGACTCGGAAGGGAACTCTGATTTCTGAGCTGAGGAAGCTGGGGAAATAATATTGCCAGGTCTAGGTGTCAGAGTTGCTGAAAGGCTGCAACCTGGGCTTATGACTGGAAGAGATGCCAACAGACGTCGTCATAACCGCACTTCCGATTTCATCCCCTGAGCTGGAAATTGCAGCCTTTCTTTTGCACTCTCTCTCCAGCACCCTCTGCTGAGGAAGCTTAACGTGGTGCTCACGTTAAAGGAGCAGAGCTTCAGGGGATTCCCTTGTTTATCCGAAAATATATTAAGGGGTGCATGGGGAGCTGATATCAATGTGTTATCAACACACTGATAACAGAAAAATTCTATCCAGCAATTTATAAAAAAGGAAAAAAGTATTGGCACCTCCTACAACATGGATGAAACCGAAGCATGATCCTGAGTGAAAGAAGCCAGTCACATAAAACCACATCCTGTAGGATCTGATTTATGCAAAATGTCTAGAATAGACAAATGCATGAAGGCAGAGAGTAGATGAGTGTTTGCCAGGGGCTGGAGGGAGAAAGAATAGGGTGTGAGTAATAAAAGGTGCAGGGTTTCTTTTTGGAGTGATGAAAATACTTTAAAAGTAGATTATGGTGAAGGTTGCACAATTCTGTAAATATACTGAAAAAACATTGAAATGTACACTTCAAAGGGGTGAATTTGATGGTATATAAATTACATCTTGATAAAGCTCTTAGACGAATTCTACCATGTAATTAAATTTTTTTATTTTAAAATATTTATTTTCATTTTTGCAGACTGAGGGGTACAAGTGCAATTTTGTTACACTGATATATTGTGTAGTGGTAAAGTCTGGGCTTTTACTGTAATCATCACCCAAATAGTGTACATTGTACCAAATAGGTAGAATTTCATCCCTTAACCCCCTTCCTACCCTCCCTTTGGAGTCTCCAGCGTCTATTATTTCATTTTGTATGTCCATGTGCACCACTATTTAGCTCCCACTTTGTAAGTGAGAACATTCAGTATTTGACTTTCTGAGTCATTTCACTTGGGAAAATGGCCTCCAATTCCATTCATGTTGCTGCAAAATATATAATTCCACCCATTTTTATGGGTAAGCAGTATCTCATGGTGTCTGTGTACTATATTTTCTTTATCCAATCATCTGTTAAAGGGCAGGTAAGTTGATTCTGTGACTTTGCTGTTGTGAATAGTGCTGCAATAAATATATGAGTGCAGATGTCTTTTTATATAATGATTTATTTTGGGTAGATACCCAGTAGTGGGATTGCTGGGTCAAATGGGAATTTTATTGTTAGCTCTTTGAGAAATCTCCATACTATTTTCCATAGAGGTTGTATTAATTTACATTTCCACCAATAGCATATAAGTGTTCCCTTTTCTCTGCACCCACACCAACATCTGCTGTTTCTTTACTTTTTAATAATACCCATTCTGACTGGTGTAAGATGGTATTTCATTGTAGTTTTAATTTGCACTTCTCTGATGATTAGTGATGCTGAGCCTTTTGAAAAAAAAAAAAAAAAAACTTTTTATGAGATGCAGCTTTGTTTGAATTCACCATGTTGTGTTTCTCTTAACCCAAAGAAGAGAGGAGTTGGTAGCATTGAGAAAAATTATTTAGTTAGTGTTTAGAATTTTGTGTCAGCTAGACTTGGATAATTAGAATAGCTTTAGAAGTCATGATGATGCTACATTTATTTGCTTGCAATGTGACTACATTCTAATTTTATTTCTGTTCATTTATTTTTGCTATTACCTCTTTTCAATAGTTGGATATTTATATGGTACAAATCTCTGGACTCAACATATTAATTTCCATTAAGTCATCTTTCCTCTTCCGGATCTTTTCTCCCTAGCTTAATAGTACACACTGAAAATAGGAGAAATCTAAATCTGTAACTCGTTGTGAGAGTGTTCCTGAAGTAAAAGGGTTGGCATGTGGAGTGACAACAGTAAAAGGCCAGCCTCCTGCCTTTGATCCTTTTTCACTTAGGTGTGAGCTTAGTCTTTCCATCATATCCTATTTACAGACAGAAGAAAGGCTTTCCATTGACTGACAACTGCAAAGGGCCACGTCAGACTAAGAGAAGGGAGCTTTTCTGTAATTAATAAAAACTGACCCACAGGAGTGGCTGTTTGGTCCAATTTCATCCTGCAACAAACCCAGATCCAATCAGATGCACATGTTCTGGTGTGTGCAGTCTAAATTTTGCAGCAGTGTGGCCTGATATGGAGATAAAGAGGACAGGGACAGATAGACCATGCATCACACCTGCTATATATTATTGGATTCTTATATTTCTCAATATTAAACCTCTGTTTTGCCACACAGAATGGATTGTGATGTGTTTCTAATTCCCATAATAGATTTCTTCATTTCCGTTTTGC